TTTGCCACGTGAGGGGAGCGGTTGTTGCGTGGCCTGGGCCGGGCCGGGGCGGACAGCTGTTGTGTCGCCCTTGTTTGCTGATCGATTCCTGCTGAAGCGCCGCGCTCCGCACAGGTGCCGCCCGCCGTGCTGACCCTCCCCGCGCCGCCCCCTTGCCGCCCCATCGCCGGCGCTTATCATCCATTATAGCACATTGCTGCCTCGTCAGTGGTGCCCAGTGGGCCACGGAAGCATTTCATCGTGACACGCGCGTTCGGCGGAATTTCAATGATTGATCCCGGCACGAGACTAACAAATGCGGGCGTGGTTCCACGTCCGTCCGCGTCCGTCTGACGGCGTGACAATGCAATGCGGAAAATTATCTCTAAAATATTATTCCAGAAACGCAACATATTGACATGATCTCAGATTGATTGAGGTTGCTGTAACTTTGCTATTGCGTTCGCGAAATGTACCAAGCGTTTTGATTACCCCCCCCCCCTGTTTTTCGTGGTTAGACTGAACCGGACGCACTCGCGTGGATCGGTCGTCTACTCTGGCACTGTCAGGCGCCATGGTCGTAGACGACGGCCACACCGGCCCGCCTGCGCAACTGCCACTCATGCTTACAAAGTCACTTACACTTATTTTTTTTGCGCTGGACTCGACGACGGCCGCATGCTCGGAACCTACCGGAAACAAACACATTTCCGGTGTGACAGTGGACTTGTGTTCGCAGGACAAGCGCGAGGGGCGGTACCTGTACGACAAGCGCGCCGCCCCCACGTGCGCGAGCCCCGAGCGCTACGCCGGCTGGGACGTGTACGACGCCATGCGCAGGGGCTTCCGCTGCAACAAGAACCCCAGCAGGAAGCTCAAGCTCGGGCTCGGCGCGCTCAACGCGCTGCCAACGGACACCCCCGCCCCCGCCCGCCCGACCTCCATCAGCAACCGTGTGGCCGCGTCAGAGGACGGCGCCACGACCACCGCGCACGACAACGCCGGCACCAGCAGCGCCGCCGCGGCCAGGACGACGTCGTCCCCGCCAGCGGCGTCCTCGGAATTATCGACGTCGACGTCGGAGGGTGGCGCGTCCAGCACCACCGTCTCGCCGGAGATGAGAGGGTACGTAGGGTATGCCCCGGGGCCCGGACTGCGAGGCCCGGTAGGTAGCCCACCGGCCCCCGAGCCCCTGCCCGTCAGCGTGACTTCGACTCGACTGAGCTCGGTTCGCTCGGTTCGGTTCGACTCAGCTCGGCTCGGATAGCTGCAGAGGAGAATACAGGTCCCTTCTGGCCACTTTTCACGTTGAATATTTTCCTGTGGCGGCGGGTGATGCGCTGAATGACGCGCCCGGGCCCTGCTGCTGCTGACACCCGCTACCCACTCGTGTCGAGGACCGCGCGCGAGGCCCTGCCCTGATAACAATTCGTGCATGCCACCGAGCAACCGAGCACGAACCGAGCGAGGGAGAGGCAAGCGAGAGCCGAGCGAGAGAGGCGAAAAACGGCAGAGAAATGAAAAAAAAGTCCTTTGCCAGTTGTAAAGTTGCGAGTAAACAAACTGGTTTCGAAATTATTGCAAAAAAATGTTTTTTGTGAAACTATTTTTTGTAATTTTACGAACAGTGGAAGCATTACCTAAGTCGGGAACTAACAGAAACAAAGTTCTCTCGGTGTACTGTAAGTACAGTGCGTGGCAGTGAGGAGGGCCCATTGTGAATATGTTTCTCCATTATTCCCAGATCGATGAGCACTGAGAGCGCTAGCAGCACGGTGGGCCACTTGTCGACGCATATTCCCAGCGCGCACAAGAGAGGCAAAAATCGACAGCACCGCAAGCCCGTTGGACGATTGCACCATGTGAGTATCTTTCCTGAGCGGGGTGCGACCAGGTGCGACTGCAGCAAGGTACCCTCACCATTACCATACCTCTCTATGCTGATGGTCGCCGATCCTACCGACCCGTTCAGGGTCATTATTGACCTGATTCCCATCCGTTTCCCAAGAAAATGGTACTTGTGCTTGAAAAAATTGAGAAGGAGAAATAAGAAACAAACGCACACGCGTTCGGCGGCTCCCTACTCCCTGGCGGCCTGGGAGAGAAAACAAAGTGTCATGTGCTATTGTGACACTGCGCCGCTGCGATACTGCCCTTCAGGAGGCGGCTCAACCTGCTTGCGTTTGTCTGTTCACAGGATCTCGCCCAGGGTGAAGAGGGGGTGCAAACCAAAGAGGGCAAATACCTTCTGTCCGACGGTAAAGGTGGATACATGGCTGTGTCGAGGAAGTCCTTCAAGGCCGCCATGGAGGAGCGGCGGGACTCGACAAGGGCGGCGCCCGCCACAGCCCCCGCGGCAGCAGGGTAGCGCGGCAATGTTTGAATTAAAGACAACACCGTGAAGAACGCTGGACATGTGACGCGTGACAGCGTGGGGCAGCACCAATTAAGCCGTCGCTCTCACCGACCGCTCCAAGCCCGCCTCGCCCCCGTAGCTCGTACAACCGCTGATAAATGGTTTCCAATTGGAACTGAAGTAGTATTCGATCGAAACACCTTAGTAGTTTTTACTCAGGTGACTGGGTTTTGAAATAAATGCGACTGAATTCAAAACGCTTTCGCTGCCTCCGTCTCCGTCTCCGTCACCGTCACTGTCACTTTCGCGCTTGTCCATTTCGAATTTATGTCAATTTTATTCTCAATTTTTTGTCCAAGGTAACAAAAACGGTTGGTAAATTGTTTGAAAATGAATGACAAATCTTTGCCCCGGCTGTTGTACGACAGACGAGAGCGACGGTGAGAGTGACAACAACCGAAGAGGGAAGTACTCCGTAATGCCCACAGTTGTTCCGAAAGTAGTGATGCACTGAACATTGTGCGCCAGCATTACAAACCCGTACCTGTTTGGTTAGTGTGAGCGAGACTTGAACCTTATTGAAATGAACCGTGGATTCCCGTTTGATGCCCGAGGAGTTTAATTACAAGAAGGTCGTGAATATCAATAGAAGTTTGTGATACATTCTCTTAGTTTAATTTAATATTTAATAATAACAAACCTTGTAGTTTATTAATAAAAATTGACAAAACAACTTTGAACACAATTTTGAACATTTTGTGCTTGTCACATGAAATTGATATGTGCCACGACACTCGAGACTCCAAGAGTACATTTACTTCTGACACGTGACATTTGTTTATCTGCGATGAGTTAGCGCAATCACTGCCAGAGTTCGGATTTTCTCTTTCCTCGTATCACGTACGTACGTAGCGGGAAAAAACAGAATAGATCAAGTGCGATTATGACTGAGCAGAGGGCAGAGCAGGCTAACAAACACTCAATGACACACACACAGGTCGTGAAAAGGGACTCACATTATAAAAGGGTCAACTGCGCTCCGCTATCGCCACTTAATCTATATGTTGCACACAGCCCGGCACAGCTGATTACACTCCACACGAGCGAGCACACACGCACACGCACACACACACACACACACACACACACACACACACACACACGAGCGCACAGCCCGACCTCGCCTACCCCGTCGTCGCCCACACTCACACATCCGCGAGCGCAGATACGATAACACGCGAACCTGTCGGGTCAGCATTGGTTTTCCTCAATACAGTCAGTGTGGTCAATGATGACTGGGGAATGCACGGGGCAGGCGGCAGGTCAGCAACGGCGGCATCGGGAGTAGGTCCGCCCTCCCCCTCGAGGTCGAGCAGGTGCTGCCTCAGGTGCACCCTGAGCCTCCCCGCGAAGGAGAAGCGTGCTCCGCACTCCGAGCAGCGCCAGTGACCGCCAACCACCGCACCCACCCCCCTCGGCGGAAGTGGTCGGGATAACTTCGGAGCTTCGAGTGAATCACCCCCTCCAGCGCGTTTCTTTTTCGAAACGATGCTCCCCGATTCTGTGCTTCGCTCGCGGGCCACAGTCGAAGCAGTCTTGACGCCCTTCTCGGGCGCACTGCTCGCCAAGTGTCCGTCGCACGGCAGGCGCACCGCAGTAGATGCCGCCGAAACTTTTTCTTGGGCAGCCAGTGCAGCAGCTTCCGAAGTAGTTTCAGGAGCAGGCTCTGCTTGCGACTCTGGAGGAGCCTCTGGAAGCCGCACCATCTGTCTTCTCCGGGCAGCCTTCGGGCCACGTGCAAAAGAATTTGGACTTGCTGACCCCTTTTGGGGAATTCCCCGATCTGATACGAGACACGCGAGATCATCCCCCGGCGCAGACGGCACAGACTGAATTTCAGTTACCGGAGCACTATGCGATGCATGTTTTGTCGTTTCGTGGGCCGAAAGCAAACGTTGCAGCCACGGAGCAGACTTGACAGATTTCATAGGGCGCGTTTTTTGTCTGTTCCGGTCTGCCTTCTGCACACCACGGGTCGTATCGTAGATAAGGCCGGAGATACGCTGCACTCCACCGCGGCGAGCCAGGCGGCGGAGGGCAGTGCGACTGACGCCTGAGATGTTGGTTCGCAGCCCGTTTCGGTGACGCCTGGCCCCGCCCGTTATCAATCCTTTGCGCCTGTTGCCTCGTTTAGTCACGGTAGACAGGTACGTGTGAAGTGAACTGCACGTGGAGGCGGAGGCCGTCTTGGGGGCCACCTCCGGCGGGGGTCGATTCACTTGTCTTCCACGTTCTTCTGGAGAAGCGCCCTCTGGGCGACACATCTTTCGGCTCTTCTGGGTCACCGTCGCATGAGCCGCCTCTGGGGCAACGTCTAAAATGCGCTTCTTCGGCCTTCCCCGGGGCCTCTTCTGTTTGTTTTGGGGCGCACTGCTCGCCGAGCCTTCACCACGTTCACTAGCGACGGTCCATTCCGTCGGTTCCATTCCCGGGGCAGCCTCGACTGCCGTGGTTTCGGAGACAGCCCCGGCGGGGGAAGTCCATACTGGCCCAGACTCTGAAGTGCGAGTCTTCTGTCTCCTCCGCCGGTCCGTCTCGTAGACGAGCCCTGGCATGCGCAGCAGCCCTCCGCGCCGCGCCAGGCGACGGATGGCGGGCTGGATGACGCCCAGGGTGTTGTCGCTGAGGACCTTGCGCTTGCGGCGACGCTTGGCGCGTCCTTTCCCGAGCCATTTCACGCGGCCAGTCTTCAGAGACAAATAAGTGCGGAGTGAACTACACGAAGAGACACGCCGGAGCGACCGCCCCCGAGCCACCTTGTAGGCTGCACTAGGCGCAGAGTCTAGCCGACACTTTTTGGGTCTGCCTCGGCCTCGGGCCGGCTTGCGAGCAGCTTCTTGAGACGCCTCAGGACCACCATCCGGGCGCTGCTTGCGCGGTCTTCCCCGGGGTCGTTTTCCGTTGTTCTCCGGCGCACTTTTGGGCACGTCTCCGCCACGCTCCTGCACTACTGAAGTCCACGCTGCCGAAGCTGTTTCCTCGACAGCGGCTGCGCCTGCCTCGGGGGCAGCCTGTGTAGACTCTGAAGAAGATCCTAGAGGTTGCATTTTCTTTCTCCCTCGGCCCACCTTCTCCGCGCCGCAGCCATTTTCGTAGATTAGACCAGAAAGACGCTGCACTCCTGCGCGGCGAGCCAGGCGACGGACGGCAGACTTGATACTGCTTAGGACGCTCTCGCTCAGGACCATTCGTTGGCGCTTGGCCCCGGCCTTTCCCAACCCTTTTCCCGCAATGCCACGACCAGTTCTAATTGACAGGTAAGTGCGAAGTGAACTACAGAAGGCGACACGTTGAAGTGCAGCCGCGGACTCAGGAGCAGCCCCCGCACGCTGCTTCCTCGGTTGTCCCCG